GAAGACTCAGATACTACAGGTAGTGAAGCCAAACAGTTTGTATCGGCTAGTGTGTATTCCGGTTTGGAACAGACACTGATCTAACAGTAGATTGGCATTGTGGGTGAAAAATGTGGAAATATTGATTACCAGACACAGCAGAGGTTGTGATGGTGGAGCACAACTGAACAAAGTATAGAAAATAATGCCCTATTGAGCAGCTTTTAAAATCATAAAATAAAGTAAAAGAAAACAAGTGGACTTACCTCACTGGTGATTAACACTTGATGTGGTGCATGAAAAACAAAACATTCAAATAAAAACTGATGTTAAAGTTCATCTGCACTGGGAGTAGGCTACCATTGGTGACCCCCCATCCGAAAATTCTTGTTGACTAGTTTCAATACATTTGGTCAGTGGGTCACTGCCTAGGAGCAAGCATGCAGCATGTAAAGTCAGAACTCCTCATTTGCATAGTTGTTTCAGGTCTATGACACAAGACGTATTAAAGCTATTGGATCCTAATGGAAGCCATGTGACTTTTAGGAAAAGGGGTAATCTACATGGGGCCCATAGATAAGACTAAACTAAAATTTAGCTTGATTGCCAACTAATTTTTTTTAAATACTAGCAGATATGCATTACACAGATTCTGGGGACAATTTAATCACAGACTGCACAAGATAGTACGCTTTGGTCTGTTCCTCTGATTTTCCAACATGCCAGTAAATCATTCGGTACAGAAATTCTACCAATCCTATCAGTTTTAGCATTATTATTATTTTTACAATTGTCCGTCATTCATATAGTTAAATGAGAAATGTCTCTGTCTACTATGGCCAGTCTAAGCGTAGACAGGATGATTCTTTACTAAGGTACCGGCCTAGGATGTAGTTATGCTTACAGCACTAACAATAGGCAGGATATGTGATATTACTCTTCTAGCATCCACTTTTCAGGTAGCTAGCAGCAACTGCTCAGAAGCTTCTGTAGTCACAGTCCAAGCCATATTAAAGGCAGGTAGTGTAGTAAGCACTGACTGCCCTCGAGGTGGTGGTATCACATTTGGCATAGTCACATGAGATGCCCTCGTTACAGGGTCTGCTATGTACTATGCATGTACAAACATTATCAAATAATCACTGCATCCCCCTTGCATATTGTTCACTTTTCCAAAAAAAAGAGGAAGCTATAGTTTTAAAGGAAACCAAAATGTAGAGAAATTTTTAGCCCAACATTGCTGACCTCTTTTTTTAAAAATTCTGGTTGCTTAGCTTCTGATCAGAAGGCTTCAATATTTTCTGGCTCTTAAACTTGCAACAAGTATGTTGTTTGGGTGTTCATACTTCACCTGCAGGATGCTCTGCTTGTTGAGGACCTCAGAAAACACTTAGGCTAGAAACAGCCAAGCAACTAGCATCTTAAAGCCAAACTTCAGGAAACAATGATAATGTACACACTGCACTGGGTGTGTTCATTATAATGAAAAAGCTGGGCATAATTTGCAGACAGCTGCAAAGTATAAAAAGCTTACTTGCAGCATGCCGTCTGCTACACATAATGTTCTTTTGGGGAGTGAGGGATCCAGTCACATCCCCGGCCCTCCTCACTACTTGCCAATATTTTTTAGAAGACATTCTGTGATTGGAGGAGGAGACTTCAATCACAGAATGCCTTGTAGCGACTTGAGCACTTCACTGCTTGTCCCTTACTCCCCCCAGTGTAGGAGATGGCATACTGCAAGGTAAGCTTTGTATAACTTAGAGCAGCCCTCCACGCATAACACTCAGCTTTTTATTTAAATCTTACACACCCAGTGCAGTGTATAAATGATCATATTTTCCTGGAGTTTGGCTATAAAAGGACTACAGCAATGTCGGCCATTGTATTTCTTCCCATACTCGTTCTCATCTACCTGGAAAGTTTCATTCAAGATTCTTTATAGAAAGTGAAATTTTAGTTTTAGTGGCCCTTAAATATGGTTTATACATTCACTGCCTGTACTAAAAATGCATTCATGATGACAGCAGACCTTTTGTTGATGTGTCATTCTCACCATCAGCTGATGAAGTCTCATCTCCAGATTTGCCACTTTCAACAGCTGTAACATAAAAGAAAGTGTGAGCTGAAGTATCACATAAGACGCCATTAGGTCAAGGCAACGGCAGGGGATTTCAGTGTATTTTTATAAAAGCATACACTAAAGGGTTTCTGTACACGACACAATTAGGCTAGCTCTTCTAAATGTACCTTTTCCTGTTTTAGTCTCTACCATTTAGGTGCAGAAGAAATGTATATAATGGATGATATTACTCACCAGTGTATGGAACTGCAGACCCACTGATTGGACCTTAGCCTCATAGAACACAGCACAACATAAATCTTTGATGGAAACTCTGATGTGCTATTGCATTTGTTTCCGTTGCATACAATGCAATACAATACCCTTTCCATCAACTACATAATGAAGTCTATTTATCATATGTTGTAATGAAGACACCTTTATGGACAGTCTGTAGATTCCACTAATGATCTTACCAGCTTCAGTTCATTTTTATGGAAATAATTCTGCATATTCTTCCTCTGTTAATGGAATATTGGTTGTGAGGAAAGAATGAGGCCAATTTATTTGCCTTGTGTTTCTCTCTACCAGTTCTAGCATAAAAACAAGGATTTAGAAGGGAAGTCTACATAGAACTCTACATATAACTCGTAGTACTGTTCCCATGGATCTCCTTTTTTTGCTGACAGCTCTCTCCCTTTCCTGTAAACACTTACCGGTTCATTAGAATCTAGCTGTGACATTTTTTTGGATAGTAAATTAAAGTAACAAGGAAACTCCCTTACTGCAAACTGCAAAAAAAAATCCTTATTTTCCTTATTACAATAAAGTCTTACCAACAACACAAAAATATATCTAAGGCCAGTTCCTGTCATTGTTTTCTGTCAATGACCTGTTGAGATGGTCTTCCCCAAGATTTTAATTCCTATTGAGGACAACAGAAAGTAAACATTTTCCAAAGAGAGGAAACCTCCTAGTTGATGACTTTTACCATAATAGGTGTCCTCATTGGAGGCTAACAGCAGTAAAATGGTGGCTTTTCCATCACTTTCTGTCCCAGTGACAATGGTCACCAGGACAGATAGAGAGGGTGAATCATGAATCTCCCCAAACGAGGACACAGACAGCAAGCACAACCTGACAGGGATTTTAACACTTCCTACTCCAAAACTAAAAAAGCATTGGCTTTAGATGCACTTTAATAGTCATTAAAACAAATAAGGATGCTAGCTGTGTTGAAGGGCTGAATTAATGCTTATGCTTTCAGTGCTAAAACAATGAATTATAAATATATAATTATGTACTAATGTTTCCCATAGGTAAGCAAACAATATATGAAGTTAAAAGGCTAACAGAATCCCCCAACTAGGCTGGAAAATGCTAATACACAGAACACAAAACTGGAATTTCCTTCAAGACTTGAGTCATGAAATATCTAAGGGAAGAATTATCTCACGTGACCTGTCATTCCCCTGGTTATTAATCAGAGTCTGCCCTTCATTGCTCGGCCCATTCTGTAAAGGTGTAGAGAGTTATCAGCTGCTGTAAAACTACACAGACTGAAATAATTTTTTATTCATTTTCAAGTTTTTCAGTAAGCATTTATTTGTGGAAAGATCCATCCTAGTGAGAAATAAGCCTAAAGTGAGCAGCAGTCCCCTCACCCCAGCAGTACATACGCTTTCCTCCGCTGACAGGCTCCTATGTTCAGCCACTGGAAGTAAAGATAGCCCTGCTGTAAGCTCCAAGTTGATTCAGTAACAGTTAACACATTGACATCATTGTCAATGTGTTAACTGTGCACCATCACTCACATGCTCCACCCTACCCAGACATATTGGGTCTGGATCTTCTCCTTTCCAATCTTTAGCCTGGTCATGATCTATTTACTTGGATGATCCAGGGATAAGTGTTCTTGGAGGCCTGATTAGGTTATCGGCTCCCTCCCCCGGATGAAGCCCGTTTTTTGTTTTTTTTTCTCTTCTACTTCCCTTCTGTCCTCTCCCCCCACTAACATTTTGTAGCTCTCTATCTTCTTTCCTTCATCCACTTTTCCTTCGCCTCTCTGGAGCAGACCTACTCCCTTATTCCCCTCTTCTTTTCTGTCCACTTCTCCTAAGGACTTACTTTCTCTGCCTTTCATCTTAGCTTTCTGTTGCTTAACTTTTGGTAAGAATCGGATAGGAGGAATAGTCACACTTTCTACCACTTGACGGTTTGCATGAAACTGGTTCTCTCAACGGAGTTGCTCTTGAAAGGCACTTGAAAGAATGCTAAATATTTGTGCCACTACTTTTTCTGGTTAAATTGCATACCATTATTTCTATGTTGAGTCACGACATTATTACACTTTCATGTACTAGTGTATGTTACTATTCTCCTGCCTTTTCGTAAATAAAGAATATAAACAAATTAAAAAAAAATTATTAGAGCTTACTATTCCAAATAACAACTTCTTGTAAAGGCTTTCACTCATAAACATGTATTAGAGTATACCACTGCTGAATAAGCATTACATTCCAAGCCTTTACAATTGTTATCATTTTAGATTAAACTTTAACATTGAAGTCATAATATAATTGCAGTATAAATATTTGGTGTGCCAAAATAATCATTGTCATTATTTTTGCTATTTTCTTATATCTTTGAAAGTTTTCCTCAACTATCAGCTAGGGTTGTGCAAAATATGAATGAAAGTCATTTTAAAGTCAAAATGATTTTAAGCCATTTCAAATGCTGATGAAATCACTTACAATGGATGCTGCTCCTTGATGTTTAAAAGTTTTCGTTTCCTGCAGAATCAGCTGGTCCCCTGAGCACTGGACCTGACTTTTTAGAGTGACTCCTTTCTCAAGCAGAGTGCTATGCAGTCACACTTGTGTGTGCTAGTAAGCTGTGTGTGTCTCCACAAACACACAGACACAGCAAATCAAGCTACCCCTGTCTCCCTGGCCCCCTCTATTCCCTTCTCCCTTCTCCATGCTAGTAGATGAACAGATGCTGGAGCCTGCTCTGTCCCTTGTGACCTTGTACTGGAAATTCACGGAAGCTGAGCTGAGAGACTTGGACGCAGCTGTTCAGAAACATGATGACTGTAAGGGGGGAATTTATCAAAACTGGAGCAGATCAAATCTGGAGGAGCTGTGCATGACAACCAATCAGCTTCTCTCTTCAGTTTATTCAGTTAAGATTTGGAAATGAAACAGAGACACTGAGAGAGAGGAAACTATTTATGGAATGCATACATGCCAGATATCCCTCAGGTTCTTGAGTCCTCCATTACTTCATATCAATGCACAAAGTGCTGAAGTGCAATCTACAATTCACTGTTCTCCAGACATGCCAAAAACCCTCCTCCATACGTGAATCTAGATTAAATCGACTCCATAACGCTGTATGATTGCTTGTTTATATTGACCATACACATTTGATGAGTTGATTGATTCTAGATCCAAGCATGAAGGGAGTTTTTTGGCACATCTAGAGCACAGTGAATTCAGCGTTTTTGTGTATTTGTATTAAGTACTGGAGGACTCGAGAACATTAAATACATGCACTTTAGACTTATTGTTAGGTACGCGATCCGTGACCGCGTGCATGACTGAATTTCCACTCGCCCTCTCTTTATTTCCACTCGCCAAATGCGAGCGGGCGAGTGGAAATTTTGAGCCCTGATAAGCACTTTGTATGGATTATATTCGCTTTATATATTTTTAATTATGTTTCAGGATTAACTTTATGACAATGGATTATGCTGCTTATAAACACAAGGATTCGTTTTTAGATATACAGTATTATGGACATTTGACTTTTTTTTAGATGTTTCATTAATGAAGCACATAGAGATTTCTTATCAATTCTAAGTTAGGACCTTTTTATTATTTTATTTATTTTTTATCTTATTTTTTGTTTGTCACAATGTCAACATTGTTTTACAATAGTTTCTGATGAGGTTATTGGTTATTGGTATTTATTATTCATTAGCGCAGTGCACTATTTGTTACTGTATTTCTAAGTGGCCGATACCACTTTTTGCACAGTTTAGTTTTATTTTACACTTAGTCAGGGGCGTGGACCTTGCTGCATAGTTGTGTCATTGTGTTGTCCATTAGGTAAGATGTAGTTTCCCTTTGCATAAAATATGACATCTCCAAGATCTGAACTCTAGGACAGAATTTTGTTAATTCTTCTAGTTCTGTTACAGTTTCCTATGATATTAAAAAGTATTTGTAATTTAATTAATTGTATGTACTTATGTAATCGCTTGTACTACTCCTAAGTGAATTGAAAAAGTCAAAAGCATCCAGGGTCATTTAGGTTCAGGGTTCTACGCCAGTGGCTTACACTATAAGTAGATTGTACAGTCTAACTCCTTCTCTGCCAGCATGTGTTTTACCCTGGTAATGTACTACAATGTTTTAAGCTTTGCTTTAGACTCTCTTGACAAATGTCTCAGCATTTTAGTTGATGACTTTTACCTTCAAATGATTAAACAACATATTAAACAAGGTAAAGACAAACACACTTATTATTAATTGCAGTTCAGATCATATAGTGTATGCAGTCATTTGCTACATGGAACGACTAATGTCATTAGATTGTTTTTCTGCACTTTTCTCTGAAAGAAATGTAATCTGCTATAAAGTTGCAAAAACAGTGTCTTGATGTATTATCTATCTCACAAATATTACTATTAGGAAAACTGAAGGAAGGAAAAAGAAACCTCAGTTTTTTTATGATACCTCACAATTAAAACTGCAATGGGCAATATTCCAATATCCCTGTCCATAAAAAAAAGTCACCATCTGGATGTAGCTAAGCAAATAGTTCAAAGCCTTCCATTGGATAATACGTCTAGGACCAGCATTGTTATGTGCCCAACAAATGAGGTCACCTGCCTACCTGAACATACTCAATGACCAGGTTTTTCCATGAATGAATTTTTTCTTCCCTGATGGAACGGGAATATTCCAAGATGACAATGCCAGGATTAATCGGACTCAAACTGTGAAAGAGTGGTTCAGGGAGCATGAGACATCACATGGATTGTCCACCAGATCTTAACCCCATTGAGAATCTTTGGGGTGTGGTGGAAAAGACTTTACGCAGCGGTCCGACTCTCCAATCATCACTACAAGATCTTGGTGAAAAATTAATGAAATTCTGGACAGATCTAAATCTTGTGCCTTTATGTTGTGATAAGCTGATTGAAATGCTGCCACGGCGAATGCATGCCACAATCAAAGCTAAAGGTGGTCCAACAAAATATTAGAGTGTGACTTTTTTGGGGGGATAGTCAGTGCATTTAATGTCATATGCCAAGCCAGTTCTTTAATTTTACCCAGAGAAGGAAAGGGTATGCAGACACCAAAGGCACAATAACCTTGCATACATTTTTATGGTTCTCCCTGGACTTAGGCATCACCGTCTCTCAAAGACTTTATCATAGAGCACATATTACATAGTTGAAGAGCTTTATTCCACTACTATAGGCAAACAAGTTTGTGTAAAGTAGACTTTTTATTTTATTTTTTGAATTTCAGTCCTGCTGATCTCCCTTAGCCTGAGTCTGCCACTTCCTGTGCAAGTGCATTCCCTCCAGCATCAGCTGACCAACATTGCTTCCTGGTAGAGACAACAGTAAATTATCTCCTGGCCACAACCCCTTATAATCTTTACCAGGGGCCCATGTGATAGGGTGACAACGCAAGGGAACAATTGTGACACAGTTGTCACCCTATAACAGGAAGAGTGACAAAAACAACTTTTCACCTGACATTACCATGTTAACAAATATATATGATTTTATTGATAAGGATTAGATCTTCTTCAGGGTTTTTTTTGTCTTTAGACAGGAACATGATTCTGGCAAGAAGTAATCCAGTTTTGCCAAAACATATCATGTATTACATATATAAATTCTCTTTAAATGCAGATCACTTAGCTAAAGAGCAAGCTTTGTTATACCATTGCTCTACAATTACCTAACATGAGGGACCATTAAATCTGTTACTGAACTGGTCTTTTAAAGTCCAATAACACCTTCACAAACGTAATAAAATACTCTTCTCTGCTGTATTTCTGGACAGTTAAGCACAAATGATGGCCACTTTACTTTCTCTAGGACATAAAATTTCATGGAAGATGTTTTAATCATTCATTCAGTCTATTTCTAGTAAAACACTGCAGCTTATTTTCAGAATTAGTTCCTTGACAGAAATGACAGTTTCTGAGGTTTTCTTGAACTATTAATGAGTATTCCTAACCAAAGGAAGGTCTCTGGGCGCCTGGAATTTGCTCCTGAGCTTGTCTATGCATCTCATTGCACTGCATCTTGGCTATGACGAGAGTGAGCAGTGAATAAAGTATTAACACAGTTATGAGCTACAATTTAATTTGCATTTCACCTTTTTTCTAAAAAAGAGTTGCTTTGTAATGTATAAAGCTGGGACATGCCTATTCATTTTCTTTCCGGGATAAATATAGCTATTTGTCAAATTACATTTGGACTTTTCACATTTGCTGACTGTGTAGCAGCAAATATCGGGTCCTAGGAATTTTCCATCTAAATTACAATACGTGGATTATATTGCAGTTCTGGATTTAACTTTGTGCAGAGTACAAAAATAGCTTCCTACAAGACTTTACAATATATTTTGGAACATATCTATAGAGCATTTTACAGGAAGTTGAGCTAGTCTTTTCTTGCAAAGTTAAAGGATCTCTTCCCTTGCACATTATGGTGTCTCCTATAATAATTAATCATCCCAAACACATTTTTAGCAAGTTCCCCTTACCTTCCAACCAAAACAGCACCAAAAAGAGCAGTGGAATTCCTCTGTGGAGATACATGGTTTCCAGCCTCATAAAAGTGTTTGGTGTTCAAAGCAGTCCAGCACTGGAGGAAGATTAACTTAATCTATCCCTCATTAAGCATCTTATGCCTACTTTCTTAGCAAGCCGTGAAGGGTCATCAAATCATTGGACTCATTACTGTCATTTACAGGCTATAACTAGAGCAAAACTTTAATTACTTGTCTCAAAGAGATCATTTGCTGAGGTTTAACATAAGAAATTAAGTGTAGGTCATGAATTCACACTGCAGTACAAATACCTGTAAATGACAACATGCTTAGAAAACATGCTACTCCAGGCACATCTGAATAAACTGTGCCTGTATACTTATTTTCCGGCATCCAAATGAAAATCAATGGTACTGATGGAGGTTTCTGTTTTCTTTTTAGGCTAACCTACCACTAGAGTTTACAAGAAGAGATGGATGCATGCTGTTTGAGTAATCATTACAGTTAAAGGAGCTCTACAGTCCCAGCATATACTATCCTGTTATAACATCAGCATTGTAATAGTAATCCAAACTCTAGTTGTTTTTGATAATGTAATCACAGCTCACTTGAAAAAATCCCTTTTATGTAGTGAGTGCTGCCTTCTGTCTGTTCATCACTTTCAACAACTTTCTGGATTCCCTTGATGTGATGCAATCTTCATTTCTCAAGACTACATAGTCCATAATGCATTGCTTCCAGCAAGTAATGATAATGGTACATTGTGGGAAGTTCAGACATTGCATTGTAGTTCTGACAGTAGGCTTACTTGGTGTGGTGACACAAGGAAGTGCATATTTACAGGACTGAGTGAAATTGTGTCAGAGCATTGAGGAAGTACATCCTATGGGCATCTTCATTAGGGATGCACCGTTACCATTTTTTCAAGACCCAGTACAAGTATGAGTGTTAAACCCACTTCCTATCCAGACCATTTCTCAGTACTCAACGCTGCAGTACTTTGACTGACATTTATTCAGTCATGCAATGTTGTCATGCAACCTTTCTTTTGGTGGTATTTAATCACCACAGAGGTTTATATTTTTTACTATAGTAAGGAAAAACTACCAAACATTTTGAAAAAAAAAAACAGTTTTCCCTATATTAAGTTATGAAACATTTATTATTACCCAATTTTTGGGTAAAATATAAAAGATTGGGTCACGTCGGGTGTAGGAGCTGTCTTTATGAACAATGTGCTGTGTTACAGCGGCGCTCATTCTGTCTGCAGGTGGGCTTGTGGGAGGGGGCCATGTGAGGTCCCAGCAGGCTTCCCTGAGGTCCGCAGCAAGTGCAGGATCTCAGGCAAGCCCATAGCTATTTAACAATTTAAAGCGCCGGTTTTGGCGCTATGTGTCGGGGCATACTTGTACTAGTGAAAATGACCTGTATGGGACCCGATACTGATACTAGTATCAGTATCAGGACATCCCTAATAATTACAACTAACTTACTACCATCCCAACTTAATGTTCAACCAACACTCTTTATACACTTATACTGGAAGGCATTGATTGTGAATGTTATACACTGTTTTTAAGGCATGTATATAGGTGGCACCTACGGCTGCAATACTTTGCCCTTACATGGAACTATTTTGTTGTTTTGGATGAGCTAGTGTTTCACTAAACATAGGGAAGAATTGAGTCCGTGGGGTAAAAATCAATACAAATGATACAAATGGACATGGGGCTACTTGAGTTTTCCATTTCCTTTCATACTCTCGTGATCTCTCTTAGGAGCCTATCTAATGTGTCCCCTTTCCCTTCCTCTAATGGATGTATCATTTACCCCAGTTAAGGTGACATTAAGCGCTGCGCAAACTGTTCGTGCTATATAAATCGTGTATCATAATATAATAAAAATAAAGGATAATTCCCCCCAATGTTAGTGTAAGGACTTACCTTAAATGATGCCTCTTGATCTGATCACCTTCTTCTTTACTGTAGTTTTCAGCTGTCCCTCCAGCGCTGGTGCCAATCTCCGATCCGGCGCTGACTTCTCTGTGCTAGCTGGCACTTCCTGTCCCACGGAGTCTGTGCGGGTGCACGCTCCTCCATAGACTTACCTTGTATCTCTCCTCGTCTACCGGCCAAAGATCTGAAATGCCCATGCGCCCGCCCCAAGATCCTTTGTGGCCGCCCGAGACTCTTCAGATGTTCGAACAGGAGCATGTGGCAAAGACACAGGTAAGTTTTTTACCTGTTGTAAAAAAGTTTTTTTCATGTTTTTGCATATATCTACTGCTTGCTAGCAGTAGATATATGCAAAAAAAGCTGAGGGTTTAATAACCCTTTAAGATAAAAAAAAAGAAAAACAAATGTAAACACAAATTGCAGACTTTATGTGTGATGATGCTTCCTCATATCCTGCTGCCTACAATGGCCCACAGGTGGCTTCAAAACGTAAAAGCTATTTATCACAGATCTTCTTGGATGAACATATTGATATGGATTTACCTACATTCATAGTGGGCATGTAATTTATGCAAAAATACTTAAAACCTGTAATGGAAAAATATAGAGATTGCTATTGCTGACTTCACTTTATGAAAATGCTAGTTGTGAGTGGTATTGTGGCTTGGTGCACAACAAAGATAGCTGCATGACACGAGGCCACATGAGATGCTGAGACATCATGGAGGGATTATCATATGCTTTTGCCACTATCACTTGAGCTAAAGGAAAGATTGGATGCAACCTGCCCTCTACTAAAACCCTCTTTCACAACTGTGGCACAACCTTCTGGAAATGTTCATATCTCAGCCCAAAAGACAGGTAGCCCTGGATCCCCATTGGCCGCCTCACCATGTTACTCCACAAACCCATTGGGGTCTAAGAGCTAGCTGCATGGAAAATGCCAACGTCCTGGCTATAATCTGACAAATGCTGCAAATTACAGATCTTCACAGTGCACTGTGCAGGACAATGTGATTTTGTCAGAACTCTTTGAGGCAATTTGTAACTTTAGTTTTATCTTGGAAGCCCAGTTGCTCATAGCATGGGGTGTGAATGTGGTCTAGACTTTTGTGGTGTTTTTAAGTGACAATGTTGTCATTAATACTTGGTGGTGTTTGTTGTGTGTCCATTGTTTCAAGTAAATTATTGTTTATTATAGTGCAATAAAGATATTTTCATTATCAAATCTGCTTTAGCTTATGTTGTAACCACTATTAGCCCACTCTTTGGTCATTAGTTTTTTTGGTGAGTACATGTGGCTAACATCCTAATTGATAAGTTGGTTAAAGGGTTTCTAAACCCTCCGGGTTTTTTTTTGCATATATCTACTATACTTACCGCTGTCTTCACCACGCGCTCCCGTCCGAAAATCCGAAACTGCTCGGGCGGCCACGCATCTTGGGGCGGGCGCATGCGCAGTTTGGATTTTTGGCCGGGAGACGAGGAGAGACGCAAGGTAAGTCTATGGACCCGTGCACCCACATGCAGACACCGTGGGACAGGAAGTGCCAGCAAGGACAGAGGAGTCAGCGCTGGATCGGAGACCCGCAGCAGCGCTGGAGAGAAGGCTAAAAAAGACAGGAAAGAAGAAGAAGATCAGATTAAGAGACACCATTTAAGGTAAGTGTTTTACTTAACATTGGGGTTAGGAAAAAAATTATTTGACTTTAATGTCACTTTAACTAATGATTGATGGTGTGACTCCCAGTAAATGTTTTTATGGTAGTTTTTGCACAGCAGCTGTGACTGTTTTAAAGGAAAACCTATGCACAATTGCCACCGACTCTCAGACAGTTAACAGACGGGAGCCTGCCAGGAATCCTGTTTGCAGAACCTGCCACAGGAAACAACAGATTGTGCTTCCCATTCAGCCTTTAATCAACCCATCAGGGCCACACAGCAATCCCCTGCACACCAGAGGAACTGCACAAATTCTGTGAACAACCCCAGATCCCCATCGTACTGGTGCAGGAATGGTAACAGGAGTTTCAACTCCTGGGCCAGACCTGACCAGCAAGAGGACCAATGGATCCCTGACAACATACAGTAGATGTCACCCATATAACCCTTACATTTGCTGCAGACCTAGCAATCATGGCATTGACAGAGACCCAGTGGCTGAGTCCTCCTAAGTGCTTGATTACATAGCCAACTGAGACTGGCTCACTGTGCAGACATCAGGCCTTTGTGCTTACCTCTCAGATAAGTACTTTTCTATTTTCCCCACATACCTTTCCACCACATACCCGAGGGCCTAAGACCACAGTTGGGCCACTATTGAGACAAACCTCCATATCACCGGAGACTGCAGGCCTACCCCCATTAATGCTGCATATAGCTGAATTGTTTTATCTTTTACAGCTAATTAGATATCCCTTTCCGTCATGGAATCTTAACAATATCCCTACGCACTCCTTGCATCCTTGCACAATGTTATCATGGGCTTTTTCAGTGCATGACACTAGTTTTCCTTTTGCTCACTATTGTTCCAGGCGTACCAGAGCCCTACTGTCCTACGTACTGTATATACTGCTTTACCCCTGCCTCACATTAAATCTGCGTGGATTTTTGCATTTATTTTACATTACCCCTATTATCTCAGCTTAAACCACACTGTTTACACATGGAACATCAGACCTAGTTGTTCTCCTTGTCATGAACGTTAATCTTCTCTGGATGAGAATACACTGTACACTCTTCCACATTACTGAGAAATAGTCCCCTCTCAGGACCATCATACCACCTAATCCTGCAGCCTTCTGCCCACACTCCAATGCCAGATGCGATAGGAGTGACTTGGTAACAACAAGGATCCATGAGCTGGCACAAGTTAATACCATATAAGTCTTTGGGAGTTTAATTGAAGCATTTTACAGAGTCAGCACATACAGGGATGAAACCTTTGACTCTTACAGGGAGTTGTGAATGAGCTCTGAAGTGATAACCTTGACTCATTCAGAACCAGGCATACTGTGGAGCCTGCCAATAGCACTAGTGCATGGTGGATGTGGTGGTATGGAGGTTCAAGTAACGCATATCTATACATACAGCC